TTCTCGGCCGACACCGTGTGCTCCAGGAGGCTGCGGCAGAAGCTGAAGTGAGCAGAGGCGGCAGCGGCGGCTGCAGAGGGAAGGGGGGTGAGAGACGGCCGTGGTGCCCATCCACCCCACGCCGGGGCACCCAAAAGTGCCTTTTCTACCCTTTTTCTCCTCAGGCTGTGGGCTCTTCTCTCCAAAAACTCCCCGTTCCTGCCTTCCTTCCCCATTGCCAAGAAGAAAATCCACCAGCCCAGGAACGCCAGCTGGCGCTGGGATCCAGCAGGCGCCCGACAAGATGTTTGCCCACACAAACCCCTCACGAGCGACGCTTGTTTTGACACCCGCCAGCCGAGCAGACACAGGACCTGCAGCTGATCCCCAACACGTGGTGAGAACCTCCTGCTTATCACTGCCACCCTGCCGGGACAGGGACCAGGAGGAGGCCCAGGGCAGCTGCTTCCCATGGTCCAGGCTGGCAGCAAACTGCCACCACCGAGGGAAGGGGAGCAGAGACTGCAGGCGGGTCCCCTAGCACAGACCATGGATACCTGGGGACAGCTACATGGCCAAACACACACCAACCCTTCAACAACGACCACAAAGAGACATTTACCCACAACAAGTGCTTTTTGCCCCTTATTTATAGAATAATAGGATATCATGAGTTGGAAGGGACCCACAAAGGTCATTAAAATCCAATTCCTTGTGTTTTAACAAGCTGGGGGTGTTGGGGTTACAATGAGGTTGCAAAGCTTTCCCTTGAGGGGGGCTGAAGGGCCCCAGCTGGCACAGGAGGAGGGTGAGTGGGTATTAGGGGCTCACGCTCTGGCTGCTCCGGATAAAAGCCAGACAGCTTGACATAAGCAGCTCTGATCCATGGAAGCAAAGACTGGAGCATCCCCCAGCTCACCTGCTCCCACCATGGGGAGCCAGGCAAGTCATGAACCACCCCTAAGAGCAGAGCAGCACCCAAAGGAAACTCATTTCTAGGGCAAACCACTCTGGGAGAGCAGGAGGGCTGAAGAAATCCTAATGCAGCTCATTTTCCTAATTAGTAGGTTTTACGAGGGAAGAGGTTTCAAAGAACCCATTCAAGTACACCTTTGTGCAATAGGAGAACAACTGGCCAAAAAAGTCAAAATAGAGCAAAAAAGGATACCCAGGATACCCAGACCACATCACACAATGTTGTTTCTTAAACACACCCAGCAGGAAGCATTGCCCTGGGGAAGCTGAGGCAGGGGACCTGTCTGATGGCTGGGGAAGTGATTTTAGAGAAAACAAGGTGGAGGGAGATCCATGGAGAAGCTCAGTGGGGAGCAGAGGCAGGACTGGTAGGGGTGGTCTCTGCACCTGTCCTGGGTGACTTCCAGCAGTCTCAGACACCCTGGGCCTGTCGGGTGAGGACCAGAGCGGGCTGTGTTCCCTCCAGCCAGGGATGTCTGAGGTGCCACTGCCCTGTCCCTGTCACCCTGAGCACAGTAGCTCTGCTGGGACACACCTGAGCTGGAACCTGCCCATCCCACTGGGTGTTGTGGCAGATATAAACCTGGCAGGTGTGGAGGGGCTTCTGCCAGAGTTGTGTCCTTCAGCTGTGCCAGGGCTTGCTACAGGGAGTAGAGGGAAGGGGGTTTTGGCCATCAGGAGGACCCAAATCTATAGGGAGCCATGGAGCAGCTGCCTCCAGCAGCAGGACTTGGGCATCTCTGCTCCTGCAGCAAACTCTGCTGGAGGCAACCACAGGAGTGGGAGCAGATGGGAAAGAGGGGTGAAAGTGGGAAGGAAAAATAAACCAGGAAGAAAGGCAGCTCCAGGAGCTTTGGGGACATGGCTGTCCAGGGGAGCAGCCCAGAGGCCCTGCTCCAGCAGCTCCTCCACAGTCTCAGTTTCCCCAGCCCAGCCCTTGCATCCCAACTTTCCAATCACCTGGCAGCACCCGACATGGGACGGTAGGGAGAGAGAGCAGGGCATGTGGGAGCGTTTTGGAGCAAGGAAAGGATGGGAACAGAGGAGCCCTGTGTTAGGACAGCCCTGGGCTGGCTCCACGCAGGGACACGGGGGTGACATCCAACACGGGCTCTCCTTTCCGTGCCCTGCACAGGCAGCAGCCACAGCATGCCCAGGAGCAACCAGCCCCCCTCCATCCCCTCCTCCCCTCTCCTCCAAGCCTGCGGCTGTGCCCTCCGGCCAGGAACGCTCAGGCAGCATCTCCCCCCAGGCCCGCCGGCCCCACAGCCCCCCGGCCATGCCCTGAAGAGCCCTCACCTGGCTCGGGTGGTCCCTGCGAGCTGCGGATGGTGGAGACGCAGCAGAGGGATGGCCGGCCCTGCTGCATCTCGGCGGGAGGAGGGATGCGCGTGAGCGCTCGGCACCGCTGTCACGAGTGCGGCTCCATCCCTGCCTCCCCTCATACCTCGTCCACACCTGACTGATTCCCCCGAGCGCCTCCCTCCCGCTGCTCTGAGCCCCGGCTGCACGCTCAGCGCCGCTCCGGGCGGCCAGAGCCGCTCGCACACGGACAGGGGGTGAATGACACCGACACCCCCTCCCCGCTGCCCTGGGGGCGTCTGATCCGGGGGATGCTCGGCGCTTTCCTCTCCTGCTCCCGTCTAATCCCGCGGCAGGGCCAGCTGGCACCGGGGTGGGCAGGGAGCCTGTGGGGCTGCTGCAGGGGGCACTGCGCCCACCGGGCACCAAAGGGCACAAGCGAGCCATGGCACGAGTGTGGCAGCGCCGGGGCTCCGCTGGCTTAGGGCGGCGGGGTGAAGGAGGAAAGAGAAGAAGCGTGGTGAGGAACAGCCTTAAGGGGAAGGGGCCGAAGGGCTCGGTGTGTGTTGCACCTGCTCCCGACAGAGCTCCCATGGTCCTGCTGGGGTCCCGGCAGAAGTGGGGGTGCCACAGAGCAGAGGCTGTGCTGAACCCTGACACGGGAATGAAGAACCTCCAGGCTGGCTGAGCCCGAGCTGGAGCGGGGAGGGGAGAGCTCAGCTCAGCCCCCCAAACAGCCACTGTGACCCCACTATTCCGAGTCCCTGCCAGCTGGTCTCGGCTCCCTGTGCCCCTCTGCTTGCCCCTGTGAGTGACACCCCATTGCCTGCTCGCCGGGGGAATCGCTGCCGGCTTGTTTCCATGGCTCTTTGATCCATTTTGGGCACCTCTCCAGCCTGGCAGGAGGGGGAGGCCAGGCCAGGTCCGGGTCACCGCAGGGGGGACAGGGACAGCCACGGCTCCCTCCCGTCCCCGGGCTGCTCCCTCTGCCATTCCCTCTCAGACACTTTTATGGCTGGTGAAACGTGAGCGCTGGAGAGGCTCAGAGCAGCAGCAGCTGCTGGTGGGGACAGGGACGGGAAACCTCGCGGGGCTGGGCACCTCGGGGCAGGATGTGGCAGCATTCCCCGGCTAAAGCATTTCCGTGTGGGTGCCGAGTTTCCCCGAGATGATCACCACCAGCAAACCGGCTGCCAGGGCACTTCCCGCCGGTGCTTCCTGCTAGCAGGTGACCAGGAGCTGCCCAGGGGACACGGTGGCACACAGCCGAGCTGCAGGAGGAGCGGGCAGGGGCACAGGGCAACCCGGACAGGCAAAGTCTCCTGCTCTGTCCTCTGCCACCACTTCTCACCACGGCCTCAGGAGCATCCCCGTGTCTCTGATGCCATCGTCCCACAGACCTGCCCTCCAGATGGGGCCGTGCCTGCAGGCAGCTGCGGTGGGGGCAGCCAGGCTTCCCGGGTCAGACAGGATTCCCGGGATTAGTGGAAGATGCTTGAGACAAGCTCCACAAGGAATGAAATCATTCTGTTGGCTTGCCTGGCTCCCTGTGTGTGATGACCCTTAAGGGTGGGTCCTCACACGGCATTTGGGAGGGAAAGAGATGTTTAGCACCAAATAAAATGAGGGATTTGTTTATAATTGGAGGCGGATTTGAGGAGCTGGTCATCTTTCTTGTGTTCCTACAGGCAGGTGAAGGAAGGGTGAACGGGAGCAGAAGTCTCTGAGGACTCCCAGGACTCTCTGAGGACCTAGGGAATTTGCTCAATTCAGGGAGCAGCTTTGTGAAGAACTCATCCTGCTCTTAGTAGCATCTGCTGAGCCAGGAGCTCAGCTGGCATTGCCATTGCCCTGGTCCCCTCTGCCCCTTCCATGTGGCTTCACCCTGGTGCAGGAGCCGAAGGAGCCTCCAGGGATGATCATTCCAGTGAGGCTCTCTGGGATCCCCCAACATATCCCATCTTTGAAGCTGTGCCTATAGGATGGACCAGTCCTGTCCTGAGCTATTTCCTAAGATCTGAGAAAGATGAAACCAGACCCAAAGAGGACTGACACCTCCTCCAGCCTCTCCAGCTTCCCCTGGAGTGTACTTGGCTCAGGCCCTGGGTGTGGTGAGTGTCACCCCAGCGCTTCCCTCTGAATTCTCAGCTTGCAGAGATGAGATAAGAGCCATGGCCAGAGCTCAGGCTGGTGGCTGCCCACTGCTGGTGCCTCCCGAGGACAGAGGAAGGGAACAAAAGGCAAATGTCCTTTCTGTCCTCCCTGTGCAGCACGATGGGTGCCCTGGGCACACGCTGAGGGAGTGGGCACAGTGCCTGAGGGGATGTCCATGCTTTTGGGATATCTGTGCTCCTGAGACTGCCATGGGTACTGCCAGGAGGTCCCTGAGCACCCCTTGACAGAGCACTTCTGTATGGTTGGACAGTGTGAGAGTGTGGGGTGAGGGCAGTGGGCAGGACTGCAGGTTTTCCTGGCAGGTGTGGGAGCCCACAGGCACAGACCCTGCCTGCAGTGAGCCCCCTTCCACCTTGACGTGCTCTTCCCGGGGGTCCTGCCCTGCTCCAGCACCCCCAGGCCTGCCTGCCCTGTCCTCACACCTGCATCCCTTTGCCCTAGCCAAAATTTCCAGCCCATTTCATTGGTACACCACAATTCCGAGGTGTAGGGCAGGGGGACAGCCTCTCCCTGGAACGGGCCAGTAAAGGGGAATGTGGAGGGACTGACTCCCGGGATGGAGAGGACAGCACTGGGGACGGAGGGCAGGCAGACCCCGGCGATGGAGGGGGCAGCACCGGGGAGGGATAAA